AATCAACCAGAGCCTGCTCACAGACATTTTTCACTTGATCCTCATAACCATATTTTGAAGGAAGAAGGAACAATTGTTCTGATAATGATTTTATAGGTGAGTAAACTGAGACTCAGACATTTTAACTGACTCTTCCCCAAACTGCCTCATGTCAGAATCCGGGCCTGATTCCCGCCTGCAGATCCTACCTGACTCCAGATTATATCTGTGCTCTTGTCATCACCTCTGAGGTACAAATCTAAGTCAGCACACAAAAGCCAACATAGGATTTCCAGCTATTTAGCAGAGTATGGGAGTGTAAGTATAATATCCCTGTTTATCTGATTCGGAGGATACAGCTGTGCCTGGGCAGGACTGGGAAGAGAAGAGGAGGGAAGAACTAAGACAAGGTCAAGGGGGACTGAAGTAAAAGGTGTAGGAAAAACAAGTCAGACCTAAGGAAAAGCACCTGGTGTGCAATGTGGTGCGATATGGTGAATGTGCGTTAGTGGGACACGTTAAGTCCATCACTTTGGGCTGGAATAGGTTTTTATCTGGTTTGGAGGGGTTTTTTAATTTTTATAACAACTCATCGAAGTTATATGCTGATCTACCATATTCACTCTCACCTCCCAATTTATTTGAACATTAAATTCAAATTGATTCCACAAATGAACAGACAGGTGTGTATGAAAAACTCAGTTAAGTACTTTTTGGGTTGACATTGTTTTCTGTGCCAATTAATGCTTCGTTGAGGATGTGAGGTTAGGTATCCAATTAAAAGTGCTGTTCTTCCCTCGATCATGGGGATGTCCTTGAGGTGTTCATGCTGAGACTGATTAGAGAACTGAGAAGGAATGTCACAGATTCTACAATATCCATGGGAAACTGAGTCCCTTGCTCCATAGGAACTTGAAACTGACCCCATATTGCCCATAGTTGCGGGCTATTTTCATTGCTTCTTTAATGTTATCTATGTCATACACACACCCACCACCACCATCACCACCACTACACACTACTTTACACCTTTCAGGCATTTTTATTTACAAAAGGAAAAGTTCAAATAGAAAATTTCAACCAAGTTTTTAATAACATTTGAGAATCACCTTACTATGTATTTTCATAATTGAAACAGAAACTGAATAAATAGAAACTGAATTGGAAATGCTCACCAGCATCTGTTAGCATCTGGGAGAGACTTGCAGCAAGTTACCTGGCTTTTTAATAAGAATACATCCAGTTCTTGTCAGCTGGATGGGGATTAGTGGTATTGATTCCTATCACACTATTCACCTTGGCCATGACATAGATATACTAGATATTATGAGGCTGGGATTTCTAAAAAAAAAAAAATCATCATTTTGTAATTTTGTTCACATATCAACTGCTGGAAGACACAGCAAATACTTACATTTTATAAGAGAAAGGAAAAAAAATCCTGCCCATTCTTCTGAAATTTAAGTAGGCAGCCCTTGAAAGATCACTGGGAAAAGTCTGTATTTTCTCAGGTTTAACTAAATAATTTATGCATACTTTCACTTTGGCATGATGAAGCAATTTTAGCCTTTAAAACCCACAACTACTCAGGAGGGAAAAGGTCTGGTTCCTGCAACTTAAATAATTTAAACATCCAGGTGGAAATGCTTTCAGCAGTTTCCCTTTCAGAGACAAAGGAAGAAGATTTCAGAATTTGGAGATACCGAGAATAAAGAATTGATAAAAGACATCACCTCGGATGTATTTAATTTAGAATAGACATCCTGCCATATTTTTTGAATGATGTGGACCAGAGTGAGGAGTGGGGTGAAATGTCTGCTCGCCTGCTGTTTATAGTAAGTGAGCACATAGACAGTAATATGTCAGCATAGCCCTAAGTCCCGCAGAGACGTATATACACATATACAAATGGAAATAGCTATAAAATCGAATATAGCCCCAAAGACCATGTCAGCCCAAGCCTTAAGCATTAGGTAACTACCAGGAATCCTAAGAAAAGCTGTGCTAACATATATTGTGCTTTATTTAATTCCTGGCTTCCTGGGTTATAGAAATGTGTATCTTTTGATACATAACTAGGTAGATTAGGATGAAGAAGAATGGGAAAAAATGTCACTTCTCTAGGATAAAAAGGATAGATGAAAATACTAGAGGAGGTCTTACCATACAAGTGTGTGGTATAATCTGCAATCTGAGGCCCTGGCCCCTCAGACTGACATCAGCTCTCAGAACTGCCGTGGGGAAGTTTGCTCCCCACGTGCAGGTCTGTAAGTGACATACTTGTAAAAGAGCGTGGGACTTGGAACGCAGCCCCTGTAGATTTAGAGCAAAGTTTATTAGCAGAAAGTTTTGAGGGCAAAAAAAAAAAAAAAAAAACTTCCTGCTGTCTTATACCAAAAAATGTGTAATGGCATTTAGTGTTGTAACTTCTTGTGGGAAAGAAAAACACCCAACAACCCATACATAAAGCACTGGGTTTTTTTTGTTTGTTTGTTTTTCTTTTTTTCGTCTCTGTCACATCCAAGATTTGATGGCTCAAGTAAAGAAGAGAGTCAGCTAAGGTACAAAATAAGGTAACAAAGCTGAAGCGCTGGTTTCCTTTAGAGCTGAGTGTGATAACAATTCTAGAGGAAGGGTGAGATGAAATCTTGCTATGTATGTATTCTTTAACATGAGCAGAGGCTTCATCCTGCCTACAGGAAAAGAGGTCTTCCATATTCATGACTGTGAACTCTCCCAAACGTTTGGCCCTGTGCATGATGGGCTTGTAACACACTGGGTCCCCTAAAGAGAGGTCCCGGAGAAAATAAGAAGAAAGGTTACCCTCTGAGCCAACAGGAAATGTTAAGCTTGGCCAGGGCCGCAGAAAGGAGGGTTGCCGAAACCAAACATCACGTCCAGAACAAGGTCGCTGTGTTAGGATGATTTCATTCTGCCTGCGAAGCTGGATTTGTGTTTGCTGTGGTGGTGCGGGTGAGGGCCACCTAAGTGACGTAGATTAGAGATATGGAACGGGGAAGAGTGATACGAAGCCATGTGCTGTTCAGGGATTTCAGATATCTCATTCTCAATAGACTTAAGGAATCGAATGTCAACATGTAGGGTAGGGACTGTGAACAGTGGCCCAGAAAGGGTTTGAAGAGGGGTGGATGTTGCTGTTTTTTTTTAGATCATTTTCTTTTCTTCCTTTTTTCTTTTTTCTTTCTTCTTTTTCTTCTTTCTTTCTGGTCATCCATTGACTTTAATTAAGCCCAGCCAGCCTCTTAAGCATGGGAAAGTTGGAGAACTTTTTTGTTTAATGTGACCTTGTTCCCAGGCCTTTCCCTACAACTTCTCTCAGCTCTGTTGCAAGGATGAATATTCGCATTGCTGCTCTGAATCTCAGAGCAGGGTACCTGGCATAAACAGAAAACCTTCATCTCATCCCAAGTACAATCCTAAGAGCACTTTTTTTTTTAAAAAAAGGAAAAAGAAACCTTTCTCCATAATCCTGCTAGTTATACTTCTTAACTGTATTGTTTTCAGCCAATTAATTCCAATTTTAAAATAATGAAATTACTAGCAGGGACTCTAAACTTCTTTTAGTATATTAAATTGGGCAGATTGCTTCTCTCCTTCTAATTATGAATGTTGCAGTTACAAAAGAAACTGTCATTTTGATAGAGCAAAAGACAATCTGTCTGCCAAAAATGTCCAACCATAATTCTAAAAAAAAGTCACCGGCATCAAGAACATGCTACTTTGTTTGATGTACTGTCTTATTGGGAACCTAATTTGCTTTCAACCTCAGAGACAACACATAACATAAGTTTGTGTGACTAATTTTTTTCTTGGAAATATGAGTAATTAGAATTAGGGGCCATTTTCATAGCAGGAGTGGACAGGTTTTTAAAAAATTCAAACTAAGTGCTGGAGTTATTTTCTTTGCTTTTTAATAGCACTCCTAAAACCAAGTAAAGGGGGGATGCTGAGCTTTGTACAGGATAATGTGAGTCCCCATGTAAATTGTGAGCGATTGCAGAGCACGGAAAGGTTTACTACCTAAGGTGAGCCCTCCCAGAGTTCCTGGAGTATAAAAGCATTAAGCGTGTGTTCTAACCAAGTCATAAAAATCAATAAACAGGAACCCCCCACCTGGGCAATGGCCCCAGTGTTAAGTTTTATACATGTAGTAATAGTGCATATCAATTTTCACCACCCTTCCTACGCCAGCTATTACAGGGCCTACCACCACCGGAGGGACGGCAAGAGCCGCGCCATTCATCCATCCCACGGAGTTGTCTACATGCCAGGCCCATTGCATCACTGTCACTTTTATTCTATCTGCAACTGGACAAGGCTGCAGCCCTAGCTTCTCTACGCCCACTCAGTACCGCAACAATTGCAAACTGTGTGCCTCTGTGTAAAGAGTTTACAAGTCCTCCTGAAAGAAAAAACAGAACCGTTGCATATTAATGCCCGGACCCCGAAGGATCACACAATAGAAAGGCGAGAGACACGGCCCTGCCACTGATATGTGACCTTGTCCGACTGCCGCCGTGTCTCTGTCTTATTATTTAAAGGTTTAAAAAATAATCAGGCATTCTCAACAGCATCTAGATGGCCAGGTTTCTACAGCAACTAGTTATAATCTGCATGCTCCTTAATAGCCAAAGTGTTCAGAAAGCACAGGTCACCGTTTTATGACACTCCGGGTAACATATGCTAAAAATTAGGCCCTAAATATGCAGCATTTGCACCAGGTTACAGAAATAACTACCAACATCACACTTATTTCATAATTAAAGGAAATCCTCCCACCCCACCTCCCCATTTTTTACCAATAAGGCAGAAAATATCACCGAATGTGTAACCTTTGTACCACATCCACTCTTCGCCATCATTACTCTGTAAGGGGTTGGGCGGGGGCTGGAGTCGGGGGAAGACTTATTAAGATCCCAGCCACTTGTTGGTAAAAAGGTCCAATAACTTTGGGGGAAATACTTCACTTGGGGCATTCTGGAAAAAAAAAAGAATAAAAGAAAAAAAAAGCCCCATTTTAATTATAATCCAAAGATAACTGCTCTGGAGTAATGAGGAACATTTGAGAAGAGAGCCTTCATTCAGACACAGGACTTGGGTGAATTTTTTTCTTCCTTGTAAATGGTTCTATTGGCCATAGTTTTAATAGGCCTGGAAAACAAAAGGCAGCCCTTGGTGATGACTCCTCTTCTCCCTTCTCCATCAGAAAAACAAAACAAAACAAAAAAACAGGAATTTTATCTGTCTGAGGTGGCCTTTGATAGCGCTCACAGCACGGAAGTGCCACTCACGGGTACTTAAAGCTGCGTCATTTAGGAGCATAAAAATAGAATAAAGTTGTGCAGCAAATGAGAAATTATGATATAACTCAAGTGCTGTGGCATGAAACAGGAAAAATGAACCAAAAGAAGAAAGAAAGAAAGAAAGAAAGAAAGAAAGAAAGAAAGAAAGAAAGAAAGGAAGGAAGGAAGGAAGAAAGGAAGGAAGAAAGAAAGGAAATGGAAAATGCAACTCTTGTGTGATTTCCATGAAGGTGTGCTTAACTCTTACTGACGCCAATGCCATCCATAAGCATAGTTGCTATGGATATCATGAGAAAATTAGACATTTCTAGCAATGCAAAGAAAGTGAGGCACTGCAGTTGTGAACAGCTGGCATACAATAGATAATCTAAGGGAAAGTGACCCTCATGTATAATTTTTAACTGAAGAACTGTCAGGCCCCATTAGCTCCAATAGGGCTGCCAGGACCAAGATAGGTTTATAGGAGCTTTGTATTAGAATAGTTTCTGAAAGAGCAGCGTGAACACATAATGTGGGGATTCAGTACATTTAGTGTTTTTTAGAATTGTACACATTATTTGTTGTACTGACATCAATGCTCTCCGCCTATGTGTTCAGAATGAAAAGCCCAATAGGGTAGCAACTGCGATGGCAAACAATTTGTGAAAAAAATAAAACCCTTCTGAGCGGTTGTACGAGGTTCAGAAGTAACCCCCAAAAGTTCAATGGGAAAACAAATGGTGGCTATTGGACTGATTATTCACTGTCGTACTGGATGCTTATGACTCAAAGGCCTTGAAAGAAATAGGTCAAGGAGCAGAAGAACCATATACACCAGCGAAGTTCTCGTTAGGAAGTATGGGAATTCCCAGGCAGTGTGAGAAGGGCGTGACACCATCTCATTGGGGAATATAATTTATGTATTTCAAAAGTGATAGCCAAAGCAAATCATAAAGAGAGAGAGAAAAAGAGGTCACCTCTTCCCCTTCCAGTTGGCCATTCAACGAAGCAAGGACGTATTACTCGCATACTTGGCACCAGTTATCTAACTTAAACACCTGGTGGAGTGATCATGATACCCAAGTGGTATGGGTTTGTGGCAGAGTAGAGGAAAGAATGCACACTCAGGGAAGGCCTCGTGGAGAAAGGAGGGGTGGAACTGATGTTCAGACACAACACTCAGCCTGGTGCCTCGCTGCTCAGTCAGCGGTGGCTCTGTTCAGCATGTGGTGAAAGGACCATACCTCACTCTGCTGTGTGATGTTGTGCCCTTTGAAATCCCGTTTGCCTTACTTCGCTATCCTTATGGAGAACTGCTTGACATGGTCTGGTTGGTATTCCTTGGTGTAACTGTTTCGAGGAAATTTCAGGCGCTTATATCCTAAATTAATGGGATTCTTGGCACCCTGTTTCCTTTTTAATGTTTCACTGATGTGGAATTAATCTCTCTATTTAGGAGGTTTGTCTTTGCTACAAATATTAAATAATCTAGTCAACATCTTTATATATTTAAAGCTACCATTTTGTTATTTAGAGAGGCAACTATTCAGTTCCATAATTATAGCCACTTAAATCAAAGTCTACTAATTAGATAACATAGCTGGGCTTTGCAGGTATTATAGAATATTCTTTACTAGACACTATATTACAAGCAATCATTAGCTCAGCTATAAAAGGGTTTAAATACTAATGTATTTTTTAATTTGCTTTATAACCTAAACAAGCAATCAATGTACATTAATAAGCGTAATGTTTTTTTTGGCATCTGTCCATTCATCGGGTCCACCTTGACAGCTCCAGCAAACACATCAGCAGAACTCAGTAACCACAACACACAAGCAGGAATCATCAGTGGTGTCCTCTCAAATACATATTATGTGTTAAATTATTTTTATATTGAGAGATTAAAACCTCCGTTGCTCGCCATAATGTCCCCCTTACAGATGTTCCAGATGAGCAGTTTGATAGATATTTCCACCTCAAACACCACTGTCGAGTGGCCATAAAACAAGCCTTAATGAGGTGATAAATGTGTTTACTTTTGATTAGGTGAGCTGCTTGATAAGATAACATGAAGGACCACTTTCCAAGAGTAAATATGTACAGAAATTGCTGGTCACTTCATTTTGTTGGAATTCTAGACGTAAGCACATTTGTAACAGGAACACCTCACTCCCCAGTACACCTTTCCGTTGGCCAGTTTGGCTTTGCCAATGGAAAGAGTAACACGTGTAAGAGATTTTTCTAACACCTATGGGCTCCAACAAGTCTCAGAAAATCCATTCTTGGATTCTAAGACTCTGTTATACAACTTGACCACAGTACTCTCCATGTTAGAGTAAAACTAGCTTCTTGTTTGTCTGTTTCTCAATAACCTGTGAGAGCTGAGATTTTGTTTTCCTCGTCTTTGTATCCTCTGAAGGTAGCGCGGTGCCTGGCCCATGGTTGCCAGTAACTAGTATCTTTTGAATACATGGATTTTGTCATTTTCTAGGGACACTAGAGCAGTGTTTTGTAATTCTAGAGATCTTCCTTATGTGGTGGGAGCCTTATAGCTAGTCTTATGTATATAAATTTTGACATCCTTCTGCGTTTTGCCCAATAGAACAATAAACACCCAAGAGCCACTGTCCGGTAATTTACTCTCTATTTGTCTCAGGGGACCTTCCTGCAGGGTGACTTCGGCATATTCACGACAAAGGTACGATGGTTTAATTTCACACAAGGAGATTGTTATCATTTGGTCCTAGACCACTTCCAAAAACAGCTCCCCTTAGCGCCAGTGGTTCTCAACCTTCCTAATGCCGCGACCTTTTAATACAGTTCCTCATGTTGTGGTGACCCCTAACCATAAAATTATTTTCGTTGTTACTTCATAACTGTAATTTTGCTACCGTTATGAATCGTAATGTAAATATCTGATATGCAGGATGTATTTTCAGGGGTCGCGACCCACAGGTTGAGAACCGCTGCTAGCCGAACAAGCAAACATGTAGCTGATTATAATCAAAGGAAAAAATAAGGCCAACATGGCAGCCTCCCCATACAACTTGTCTGCATTCTAAAATCAAAGAAATATGAATTCAAGGTAACTTATTCAGTGTCACTCGTACATATTTATAGTTTAAAAATTAGTCAAAGTGTATGTCCTGAGGTTGCCCCTACAGGAAGCCAGATGTGCCTTCTGCATGTGACCTAAGACAGGCCTAGAGCAACAACTAGATAATTTCTCGCTCATCCTCTCCACTGCCGATCGCGGCGGCTTTCTGAGGTGAGAGAAACTGACAGCACTAACTCTCCAGGGCAGAACTTTCCAGTCAAGTGGATCAACGGACTGAAAATCTCTTATGAATAGTCATTAGGCCTTCATTACAAACCCCTCAAAACCCAGTTCTCTTTTTGCAACCAAATGCCTTTTGTCATCTTCACAAGGTGCATCATTTAATTACCAATTGATTTCTTTATATATGACAACATGTCAGATAGCAAAATACAGTGGATCTCCCTTAGGGGAGAAGTCTGTTAACTATCAGTATGCCAGATTACGGAATTATCTGAAAACAGGCACCCGGCATACTGTTCCTTTCGTTTAACTCCTTTTGCTAACATCTGAGTTTCTCTCTTTGTGTTGTAAAAAGCGAATAAATGGAAGAAGAAGAAGAAGAAGAAGAAGAAGAAGAAGAAGAAGAAGCAGCTAATGAGAATCATGATAGAGTCCTCCCATACCCTGAAACACTTTGAAATGAGTGAGCATACATTTGAAGCCTTTTCTGTGTGGAAAAAAAGGGGACAGTCAACAACACATAGAAAATACAGAGTAAATTCCCAGATACAATGACACAGAGCACCACCATAGCCCATCTTTCGACATTAAAAAAGTCAAACAATTGTTCTCATTATTAAACCGAGAATTTACTCAGCTTCTGCCTTGGTGAACGCACTGACTCTTCCGCTGCGCACCCGTGGCCTGATAATCAAGTCAGCACTGTATTAATAAGCTGAATAATAAGGGAATTTCAGAAATGTACAGGACTATTATACCGTAACAATAAAACCTCAAACGGGGTAAACCGGGCCAGTGCTGAAGGTAGGCGTCAGGAAATAATGAGGGCAGTGTTGCAGCAATGCCCTCCATTGTGTGGTGGGGTAAATGCCTGCTTCTTTCAGACACAGAAGCCACATTACATGAGTCCGAAATGTTCTCAGAGCGTCACTGTGCCGGGCTGCGCTAGAACCTGGCACCGGCGGCGCTGAAAGCTGACATTATGCTGTAGGATGTGCTGCAGGTGTGCAGGCCTGGGAATGCGCGCTAATTACATATTTTCCTGCCGCGCAACAATTAAGGTCGCCAAAATAATTGCCAGTTTCTTAATCCCTCTCTAACAAGACTGACATAAGGAATGGTTTATTTTTCTCTGGTTGTTTGGGAAGTGTTCCTCAAGATTTGGGTTTTCTATGGAACTGCGTAAAACTAATTCTTACGTTCCGATGTGCGATTATACTCATTGTTAAAAAAAATGGGGGGGGGGATCCTTGTCTTTGAATTGTAGTCAAACTCAAATAATAAAATAAGAGTTGTATAACCTTGGAGGTGGTTTAGACATTTTTCTTCTTTAAAGAAGGTACATTTTCTTTAAAAACCCTATGTTTTTACTTTCTGAACACGTGGAATGTTAAAACGTATAGTTGGGGGTGGGGAGGGGGTGGAGTGTGGAGGAGGGAGCAGACCATAGGAAAGCACAGACAAAATAGGTGTCTTCACTTATTTAGCGATGGCCCTTAACCTTTTGGGAGGTCATGGAGCCTCTGAAGGGTCTGATCACATGTACAGACTCACTACCCAGGAACGTGCATCAGTGTACGAAATGTTTCATGCAATTTCTGGTGGTCCACAGACCCTTAAAACCCAGTAATGAACTGCAGGGAAAGAACCCCGGTCAACTAACATTGCCACTATTTATACACCTCCCTTCATTCATCCATCTTTGCCTCCTCTGAGCCATCTGACCACCACATGAAGGATACAGCATCCACCACCGGCATCGGGAGCCAAGTTTGTGGGATTTATATTCCCAACTAAAACCCATTTATTTCATTATCGCTCGTTGTCAATTTCCCATTTTTGCTGGGCTAATTGGGCAGAGCTGAAATCATGGAGGGAATTTTGAGCCAGCTTACTCACTCTTGCCCCCTTTCCTACAAATCAGAAGAGAGTCATGCGTGCTGATTGAGTACTTAGCAGACCAACTGAAGTTATGTCAAGCGCGTTGCGATTTAACACCGGCTGAATGGTAGGGGCTGCAGATGTAACTAATGGGGTTAGGACAGAAGAAGCTCAAGTGGAGAGGGCGGGGGTGGAGGGGAAACAAAAGTGATTGTATCGGTAATAGAGACTTCAAAGAGGGGTCGTTTGGAAGATTTTGGGGGGGGGTGTGATCTGGCAAAGGGAAAAAGAGGCACATCTGCCTGTAGAGTGGCTGATACAGGAGAGAAGAAAGGCCTGCCAGGAGAGAAAGCAGGAGGAGAATCAAAGGCAGGGAGACTAGCGCTGCAGGAGGAAGGAAGCCTGATTCTCCTTGTGGAGGGAATGCCACAAGGCCTCGTACCCTCGGAACGGTCCCAAACTGTCCCGCTTAGAGTGTCCCGTCCACGAGACATCTTACTAAGGTAAAGACGAAAAGGAACTGTAATCATTTTGTCTTGATGTTTGAAAATAAAACAAATTCATCTTGATGTTTGAGAAGTCTTTTCATCACAACACTGGTGTGTGGTTTAAATATTAACCACTCCCCCCTCCTTCCTTCCCTACGTGTTGGAAGTTTGAAAACACCATTTGGTCAAAAAGGCACTCTCTTAGTGAACAACTAAAGTTTGAGTTTTGTGGATAAAAGTGAGGAACAGGTGTGCAGTGTCTCCTCTTTCCTGAGACAAGGTAGATATTTGAGAGGCAGACACTTGAATCCCAATGTGTGTGTGTGTGTGTGTGTGTGTGTGTGTGTGTGTGAGAGAGAGAGAGAGAGAGAGAGAGAGAGAGAGAGAGAGAGAGATATGCTGGCAGTACAATAGGAAGTGGGGAGAAAGGGCAAGGATCACATTTTTAAAGCAGCATCAAGGAGGAATGAGGAATGCAGGGTCCAGAGCTGGGCTGTGCTACTAAACATCACCCCACTTTCTGGAGAGCTGTTGCCACCACCAGTGGAACTCCTATTCTGACATGGTGAACACCACTCCTTTTTTTAAGGCCAGCTCAAGCGTGCCCTTTCTTACAGCTGTGGTGACCTGTACAAGGAGAGAAAATAAGTCCCTCCTTGTCCATAAATGGAATCAAGGATTTCCCTTGCTCATTACTGAATTCATTCCATCAGTCACTCAACAAACATGTATGGCTTTCTTGCATGTCTATTGCATACTGAGCATTTATTGAATATTAAATGTTGGAACATTCACGACGTGCCCGGCTCTGACCTCGCC